CGCCTGGCGCTCCAACCTTCCGGCAAACTCAAGGAATTGGATCGCCAAACGCTAGACTGCCAGTTTGGGGTGAATTTGCCGCAAGGGTCTTTTGAGGCCATCCTCGAGTGCAGGTTGAGGCTATGACTATGTGTCCTTCACGCTTCCCGGGCTCACCAAAGCATTTCAATTCGCTTCAGCCACTGTCTCAATTTCGGGTTTGCATGTGTAAATCGTGCGCGATGCAGCGGGGGCACGCCTAGGCCAACTGTGAGAACACGAAAGCGCAAGCCAAAAGGGCTCACAGTTGGGTTTGTCTAGTAGGGATACTTCGGCTTGCTTCAAGCCCACTAACGGACCAAGTTCTTTGGTGCCCTGGTCCGTCCGGACGCTACCTTCCCTTCGGGACGAATTGGAATATTTGCACGGCTTGTGCACCCCACGAAGGGCGTCAAAACAAAAAGAGAGAGCCATGTAGTGATTTAGAGCAGGGGGCGGCTGCAACCTGATGACACTTTCTCATGTGAGGTCTGTTGGAATCCTCCCAGAGGGGTTTATTGAGGCCCCAGTCAACCTGCTGCCTGCTGCTCTGTTGACTGCGATTGAGACACCTCCGGTGTTTTTCATCCTTTTGGGGTTTGATGGGCGGGCTTGATGATGCTCCTGCACCCATCAGACCCCCCCCCCCCCCTCCACCTGCCCCAGTGAAGCAGTATGGCCCTGTGGCTGGGCTCATTGAATGGACGCCAAAAAGCCCAAAGACTCGCATTTCCCCTTGGTCTTTGTGGTCGGCCAGGAAGGCCTCGCACGCCAGCTGTCAGGTGGGGCCTCGAGGTGGGCTACGCAGCCCTCTTCAACGCAGGCAGAGTGGTTTGTGAGGATTGGACTTGCGGGGCCTTTTTCGCCGGCGTTGGGGGCCTTTCTCCAGAGGTTTGACCCATTCTCCAAAGGTTTGTTGGCATGTTTTGGGTTTGTTGTTTTTTGGGTTCTGTGCAGTTGTAGGGGCTGCAAGAAGCCGGCAGTTTTGTGCTCCCAAGGCTTGGAAAGCCATGTACACCCAATCAAAGGGCCTCATGGAGTCCCAAGCTTTGTGATCCAAGTGGACATGGGCTCATCTTTTTTTAAGACCCCAACGGGGCAACAATTTTCCTTTGAGGCTGCCTTTGACCTACAGAAAAGGGGGTACCACAAAAATCTGGATGTACCACAGCAACCGTACCCACATAGAGGGCATGGAAATGGTTTCCAAACTTTCAGCTTAGCAACAGTCGTTGGCCAGCTGGTTTAACAAGCGGAACCCTCTAATTTTCCGAGAGTCTGGGGGGAGTCTGGGGGGAGGGGGGGTCAGCGACTCTTTTGGCCTGCTTTATAGGTCCCCCCATCTCTCCCCATCTCTGGCTTATTCCAACTGCTTTGCAATCCAAAGTCGAGACGGCAAAATCCACAGCGACGGGTGCTTCAGTGCGCAGAGGAATGCTCTCGTGTTCTCGCCTTGTTTCTTCTCAGCGTTTTCGGGGTCCGAAGATTGGCCGGCAAGTTTCCAAAGGCAAGGCTGAACACCCTCAACGCCTCTCTGTTTTTCCGATCATTTTGGCTTATTCTCGCTTGTTCAAAACGAATCGGGCTTCTAACCTGTTGGTTTCCCTGATGCCCCATTTTCGGCCTGGAACCAAAAGGTGAACCTTATATTCCTGGTGCTTTGGGCAACTGACTATTAATGGAACGGAGCGTGCAAGCCCCCCCCCAGGCCGATCTATTGCAAAAAGGGTATGCCCTTTTAGGCTGTCCAAGAAAGGTGGCAAAAGAACAGCTTCCTCTGCAACAACATGAGGCAGGTCCTCCAAAAGGAAACGCTGGGCTGCGGGGTGCACATCCTCTTCATAGTGATTCAAACCTTTCAGGTTACCCCCACTTTGGGTGAGTGCTTTTGGTGGGGTTATGTTATGGTTGCACAAAATTGAGTCTTAAGGGACAACATAGTCCTGGGAACCATTCATGGGATCACCGGTTTTCTGTCATTATCATGAAAACTCAGTGCTTCCACTCAGTACTTCCACCCCCTTGATTCTGACCAGGCAAAGGGAAAATCCGCAACTCTGACTTAGGAGTTGCACCCCCCAACACTACGCCAAGTTTTAGCTTGATCCCGGGTCAATATTACTGTGGTTTTTCGGAGGGTACCCCTTATTGGGGTGGCTTTAAAAGGAAACCAGTACGCCCCCCTTGTTTGACACATACTAATTTGACCTCCTCTTCACCATGAGCATCTCCGCAACATTAAAAGCTCTGCATCAAGAGGGTCAGGGGTTGGCGAACAGCTAACACAATGGGTGCCACAAACCGCAAGCTACGGGCCGGACATGTTTCCCCCGAGACGCAGGCTACAGCAAGCAGTCGCTTCGCCGCTTGAAGGGAGATGTTCTCGTTCAGGGCCTCAGGAGCTTTGCGCGGGTGGAGTGGTCAACTGTGCACTAGGGGCTCGGTATTCCATTCATGCCCATTCCTCAGAACATGCGCGCAATCATTTTCACTTCCATATTCATTTCCAGTCCGTCTTGGTTGGAATTGGGCCACATAAACATGAAAGTGCATATAAATACTAAATTTGTAAAGACACAATTAATACGTGCTTCCTCACTTCCTGCGTTTCTGGACCTTTGGTGGTCACTTTGGGAAGACCATGGCGTCAAAGACATTGTCTGGGGACTTTTTTGGGCCAATCCGCTCGATCGGGGTTCTGGGAAAATCACTACCCGCATTGGGGAGGTTCCTCGAATTTGAGGTGTTTTTTGGGTTCCGTGTGAAATAATTCATTATTTAACGGTGATGAGGGGATGGTAGGTTTGCGGAACAAGACGCGTCCGGTGGAAGCTGGTCGTGTCTCTTCCGAAGCCTTGCGGATCAAAGGCGTCAAAGATGGACAGGGGTTGCTCCTGAGGATTGCTCCTGTGCTCTCATGTCACACTAGGGGAGAAAGTTGGTAGCACGGGTCCTTTTTTGGTTTCCCTTAGGAACCAGCAATTTTAGCAGCCCCGAAGGACGACCATCTCAGGGTAGAACATTGGTCATTTTTCTGTGCAAAGGTGCTGATCGGGATTTTGAGAAGCTCCAGGGTGACCAGTTGATGTTTGTCGCGTCGCGTACTTCTCCCTTCCGGAGGTAGGTAACTCTTACTTGGTGGTTGCGATTGGTTTTGACATTTTTGAATTGTGGGTGTACCACCCCTAAAGCTCCAAAGATCGCCTCCAAAGCCACCAAGCAAAGGTTGACGTCCACTCTCCAGACCGGTGTGTTGCCAGCCTAGCGGCTGCTCAATGCTGGATGTGGACTTCAAGACCTGATTGGGTCACATGGAGGTGACTCTCTTTGAGGGTCCCCGAACCGTTTTGCGGGGAGCAAGGGGAAACTGAGGGGTGACTTCCATGTTTCAAGACACAGTTAGGGGCTTGAACAGGAAACCGGTCGTGTTGTTTTTCAGGCAACACACCCTCAGGTCGGACAACTACTGGCAGGGGTACTATTAGCCCATTCCAGCGGGTTTCCAACCTTTGCAGCTCAAGCCTCTCCAAAATTTGGACTTCTCCGTCAGGTTTGCGAGTTCGTCGGGACCCAGGGCCGCTCCGAGTCAACCGAGCAGATCAGAAGGGGTTGAACACCGGGCCGTGTCCGTTCTCCTTTCAAAGGGGGAGCTCCAGTCGGTGCCGGTGTCAGAACGATGGGTTTCAGGTGGGACTCCACACCGTGGAGAACCAGCTGAACTTCCGGCCCCGAACTCAGAGCCCTGGAACCTCCAGCGGAAGAATCGCGGGCCCCTGAAGATGGGGCAGTTGGCGACCCCTGACGACACGACCCTGGGAAAGACCCAGATTTGGACCTTGGGTGGAAGAATGATCCGCCCTTTGGGCGAATGTAAGTTTTTTTTTTTTTTGGGGTATTTTGGCGGGGTGATATGTTGCTTTGCCGAAATATGGGCACCCCTGCCCCATGGATCTCGGGCAGGTGTGGCAAGGCTAGATTCATCTAGCTGGTGATGAGCATTGTTGGAGCGCAAAACGGCGAAACGGGGGCGGAAATATGTCCTCAGCTTCCTTCCAGTTCCCATTTACCCTCTGCAAACACCACGGGTTCAAATTTCCAAGCCAGCAATCCCCGGTTTCGCACTCAATGGCAGTTTTGGTCTGGGGGTGCTACAGCTAGGTCAGGGAGACTTGAGGCCAACGTTGGGTGTCTTTTTTTGAAAATACAGTTCCTTGAATTGATTTGAAGGGACGCCCAAGGGAATTAACTCATTTGTGGGTTTCTCCCCTCATGGGTTTGCCCCAACCTCTTTTTGACACCAATCACTTGAGGACTCCACTTTTGATGCACGCCCTTGTAAACCGTAATTACTCCAGTTTCTACCCTTCTGTTGGGTCTTTGAAGCTCTGCTGGTAGCATGAGCTCCCGTTGGTGGGCATTATTCAGGTTGGGATGTATGCCTGCCGGCCCATTTTTGAGGTTTCTCCTCAAAATTTGCAGCCAATATGTGACCCCTTGCGTGGTCATCACTGCCTATTGACCAACTCATTTGGAAGGGGTTCTGATTGGAAATTCTAGCCCTACTGTGGATGGAACAAATATCAGTTGGGATTGGTGGTTTATCCCAGTACTTGTAGGTGTTCATGCATCCCAACTGGTGCGAAGCGGATTTTGTCCATCCACATGACCATCTTGGAACCATTTTTGTCACCGACCCGCGCCTCTCGTAGCTTTTGAAAGCTGAAACCTTCGTTGGCATGGCACGCACGAAACGGTAAGCCGATGTACTGTGGAATGAAGCACCGATGCAACACCCCAATGAAATCTGAGCATGCATACAGTGTATAATCTCTATATATATATACACATATTATATTTCTATATACAAATACATGTAAATATTTGCCATGTCCAATTAGCGGACTGGACGGCCGGATGAAAGGCTCTGCAAGAAACTCTTGCACTTCCACCCTGTTGTATCCGTTTGTTGCCTTTTCGTCACGGCACGATCTGAATCAGGTCGTAGACATCAATCAAAGCAGACGTGGGGTTTTGGCCCTTTGGCGCGCAGCTATCGCGCCAGCGGCAGCAACAGCCGGTGCCTTTGGACCTTTTTGAGCTGTCATGGCTGAAGGACGGGGACCGACAGCTTCCCTTCGGATTGATCCGCGCGTTTGTCGGAGTGTTTTGGTAAAGGGGTACCCTTTTCAAGTTGGGTTGAAAGGGAAGCCACGGACAGCCACCATCTTTTTGGCCCTCTGACCCCCATTGGCATGCGAAGCTAGAGCTGCTAGGGTTTCAGCTCAGGCTTACATAAGGGTTCACTGGGGAATGGCCTTTGCCATCCCCCCAGCTTTCGTTTGCTTTGCGACGCGCTGGCTGTGGGGGTTGTTTTGCATGGATCTGAAGGAAGGTGCTGAGTGGGAGCTTTGAAAGCTTTGTTTTTCGTGTGCGCGGGGGGTGGGGGGGGGGTGGTTTTCTCCGTGATTCCGATTCGCAGGACCATCCACGAATGCACCCTTGATTCATGGGGCTACTCTGGAACGACACATCACAGTTCGGGGCACAATCAACTTGGGACAATAGCTCACATGAGCAACCGACAGTTTGGGCAGGGCACGCGGGGGTCGCCGTTTTCATTTCTGATGAAAACCATTGGGCCCCAGGCCCAATTCTCCTAGTTCTTCTTGGGGCACAAGGAATATTGCCCGTGGCCACCTTGGGAACCCAACTGGTTGAGGGGCATGGGATCCTGCGCCTTGGGGACCACCACCAGGTGGGTGAATCGGGTCCGACTTGTTTCCAGGCCGGCGAATGGCCATCATCGGCGAATGCCCCAGCTTTCTTGCTCTTGCCACCGGAATGGGCGTGTGTCGTTTTGAGGGTGCTTGCTTCGACAAGGGGGACAACCACAAGAACACCCACAGTATGTTGGGGAAGGTCCCCATTTTTAAGACATTTCAAGATACACCACAGTTTCTGGAAAGACCAATTGGTGAGAAGGGTCTTTCCAAGCTTCTCATGCAGAGGATCCCCGACAATTGCAAGTGCACTAACCGCAAACTTGGCATGCAATTTTGGAATTGCGCCTCACTGACCGCAAAAGCCTGGCAAAAACACTTCTTCCCTTGTTCCTCGTTCCCTGGCTTCTTCCCTTGCATCTCCTTGGCGGCAAGGTGAGGGTGCGGATCCGAAACTCCGTTTGCGCCCGTCAAACATTTTGGAGCGGGTCCTCATTTTTGGACCCCAACTAAAGAGGAAGTGAAACGAAACACACAAGGGGGGCCAGGAAGCATACCGTGGCGCTCGAGATGAGGCAACACATTCCGGCCTTTTTTGCCCCTTAGCCAAAGAAGGGGAACTCGCAAAAAACATGGTCTCGGTGCCCAGTTTCCAGTTCTGTTTTTTTCCTACCCTCACCCCCCAAACCCCCGACCACCCCAACCCCCAATCTCCCCCCGCAAGCCCTCGTGATCCCACCTGCGCCTCTTCGCTCAGGCGCTGGGCCCATCGGCCTGGAGCTGGCGCTGGGGGCGGCGGAGCGCGGCTTCCAGGTGGAGCTCTTCGAGCGGAAGGAGCTCGCAGGCGCTTCGACTTGAGGCGACACTAGTTTTTTCTTTTTTTAGTAGGAAACCACCAGCAAGGGATGGTTTTGGGGATTTTTTTAGGAAACCACCAGCAAGGGGATGGTGTCTTCCATTTTGTCATTCCGAATTCCCTGCCTATGGCACCAGCAAGTTGTGAATCACCGGGCGGTCGATCCGCGGGGACAAGACAAATAGTACTCTCTCTCTCTCTCTCTCTCTCTCTCTCTCTCTCTCTCCCACTAACATAGCACCTGGAGCCTCGCTACCTGGAGAGTACTTAGAAAGTGGGGAACAACCGTGCTTCTAGCCCAGCTAGGAGACTAACCAGGGTAAGCTAACCACATACTAAGTACAATATCTAAAGATACCTGGAATAATTTCCTTTTGGAGGGATGCCCTGTGTGCTATGTTAGGAGAGAGGCTGCTGTTTTGGAAACCATCTTACCGAAAGTACAAGCCAAGCGACCATGTTCTGAACGGCTCGGGTCTCTATTTGGGGAAATGGACAATCCTCCCCCCCCAAACCCCACACAAGTTTGGTTCCTTGTGGCCAAGGCGATCTTGGGTGTACTAAATGAAAAGGTTCCGATTTCTTGCACAGGACAATATGTGTAGCATTCGAACGGAATCCGCTTGTTAGGCCCGTTCAGTGTCACCCAACAAGTCTATCATCCGCAAGATTCTTGCGCCAGACTGTAGACGGATTGCAGATTTCTGAAGACAGAACCCTTTCCTCTTGAACCCTCCAAGCAATCTCCTGGTAGAAAAATGCAAAAGCAAGGAAACCTGTATGGAAGTGGTTCTGAGAGTCCCTGCGGCGCTTATGGATTGATGAACCCCCCGAAAAGGGCGGGTTGTCCCAGGTGGGAACCCTTCGCGTATGAGAACCAAATCCGTCCGTCTGCAAGACCGGATTCGATTCGGCCTAAGCGAAGGAACCAGCAACCAGTCTCAGAAGTTCGGCCTGCCACGGCTTTGGGTCTTGGGCAAACTGTGTTTGATACGAAGAAACCACCACCTTTTAAGGGAAGACCTAGATGTTGAAGCAGTGGCTCAAACATGGGTGGTGAAAACACTGGGCTTTTCAAGTCAAGTTGGTTTGAGGGGAAGCCAACCGGAAAGCCACCATTTTGGGGGTCCCCAATTTTTTGACATAGCATGGCAGTTCGCCCAGTGGAAACAGGTGCCCAACATACCGCGACTCTCTCGAGGCAACGTACGGGACTACGGCTTCGTGCGGCTCTTCTCCCCATGGACCGGATCGCTTTGTGCCACCGGTGTCCCGAGCGCAGTGAAGGCAGACCTGTTTGGCTGGAACTCGTCTTAGTTTTTTTTGACATGTTGGGCCCAAGTCCCAAAATGGCGTTCGCAACGGTTCTCCTTTTGGCCTCCCATCTGAAGCCTAAAAACGAACAAGACATGTTTCGGGCCCTTGAAAGGGAAGCCTCGCTCTGGCAGGGAAGCACCATGTACCAGTCTGTATCAAAATGGGCAGCCCAAAAGTGAATGGTTTCCTTTTGAAATTCCTTGAAAATCCAAAATAGGTCGCCTCAACAAACACCCCCATATAGTTACAACAAGCGCGAAAATAGTTTAACGCGAGGAATAGCAATATATGTTTGACAAGAGTTCTAACAAGAGGTCATATGCCCAAGTGCTGAAACATGTTTCAACGGGTTGAATCTCCATCACCAATGGGGGTTGAATAGGCGAGTTTGCTCTAGAAAGCCAACAAAAAAGCAATACCCCAAAGAAGGTTGCTGCAAACTAGATCTCAAGTGTCCCCCATGCGCGCCCGCCCCCATTTTGCTTTTGTGGGCGGGAGGTGAAAGGGGAGTCCTTCTGAAAGGAGAATTGGTGAGATCACACCTCTACATCCCAGTTGGACATTTCAGTTTCCGAATGTCGGTCGCTGATTAATTAACCCCCCCCCCCCCGGCACCAAACAAATTTCGGAGACCCATGAGAGAAGCTGGTAAAATAAATTGGCCAAGTTTAGTGGGCTTTGTTCTACTTCGGTTGACTTCGGTGCAGTTTAGACTTGGTTTAGTATTGGTTGAGTATCGCTTTGTGCTGCCTTAGTGCTGGCTTTGCCCTAGCACTAGCTTAGTATTGGATTGTATTGGTTTAGTATGGGTTTAGTAGTTTGTTGTTTTTTGGCCTGGAAAACTGGGTACCCCTGTTTTCCTTTCTATGATTGAGTGTTTTGGGGTGGCCACGTACTACCCCCTTGGAAATGTTTCTGCCGATGACTTTTGAATGAAGGAGGTTTAAGGACATCGGCAGTTTGGGGGATGAGCGATTGGTTTCCGAATTAAGCCCCATATTTCCCCAACAGCTGGAAGCTTTGGGGTCTCAGCCCAGATAGGCTTCGGGGTGGTCCGGGGCGGCCTTGAGGTAAGGTTCCACGAGGGTTCCACGAGGGTTCCCCGAGGTTCTGCGAGGGCTGCCGGGTGGTGCGAGCACTAAAAAGAGCACCGCATGCCGTTGGGGATATCACATGAGCGTTTATTTTTAACCAAGCAGAGCAAACCTTATTGTATTATCCCTTTTCATTTTGGGGAGGCAGAGAATCATTTTGGACAACCCTTGGATTGTCTTTGGTACACTTGCAGAGTTTTGGACAGACCTTGATTGTATTTGCTACCCTGGAAGAATTTTGGACAAACCATGATTGTATTTGGTACCCTTAGATTAAACAATTTGGTACCGACAGTATTCATTTCCTGAATTTAAACCGGCGATGTAAGACGCGATGTGGCAGCGTGCCTGGACTCCGAAGCATAGGCGGGGACCAATAGAGGATACAATTGGGTGTGCTTTTTCCCCAGATAGCTGAAAGCAAGAGGGGTTCTAACTTCTATTAAAGAGGGGAAAGTGATTTGCGAGATTGACGGCAGGGTGCTAGGGGGCATGCAGTTTGGGGTGCTGATGCAGGGGCTGTTTGGTGGTGGTGACAGTGTGGGCACATTTTTGCGAGATTGAAGGCAGGGTGCTAAGGGGCATGCAGTTTGGGGTGTGGTGCAGGTGCTGTTTGAGGTGGTGGTGACGGTGGGGCACGGGATTGACGGCCGGGTGCTGGGGGGCATGCAGTTTGCAGGTGCTGTCTGAGGTACTGGTGACGGTGTGGGCGAAGTTTTGCAAGATTGACGGCCGGGTGCTAGGGGGCATGAAGTTTGAGGTGCTGGTGCAAGTGCTGTTTGGGGTGGTGGTGCAGGTGCTGTTTGCTGTTTTGAGGTGCTAGTTTTGGTGCGCGCACGTTTATATTACTCGGCCGGGTGCTAAGCAGTTTGGGGTGCTGGTGCAGGTATTGTTGGAGTTGCTTGTGCTAGGGGGCATGTAGTTTGGGGTGCTGGTAGAGGTGCTGCTTTGGGGTGCTGCTTGGGGCAGGAAGCCCTCGATCAAACTCTGCCCCTTTTCAAAGTGTCCCTTCAACCTGTGCCGAACTTCAAGCACCTATGCTGGTTAGACACATGGAACAAACAAACACATTTTCAATTCCACATCAGGAAGCCTCTCAATTCTACCCCTGAAATTGATATGATCTGGCCAACGAGCAGTGTGCAATCCTCCAACTGTTTTATGCAATTCTGGTCTTTGCTGGTGTATTTTTCCCCAACAGCTGAAAGCTTTGGGGTCTCAGCCCAGATAGGGTTCTGGGAGGGTGGGGTGCTGTTGGGGATATCGCCTGAGCTTATTTTCTATTGATTTGGTTGTCAAGCTATCGCCCACCCCTCGCCTTGGAACCCTACGAAAAGAAGAAATCCTGACAGGAGCCTGAACATGTCGGACCTGGGGAAGTCCGCGTTGCAGAAAGCCGGCTACGCGCTGCCACCGGAGGACGGGCCGAAGAAATCCAGCAACAAATAGATATACACACATGCATTCTGTCTCCCTTTCAATATGTATTTAAACATACATATACATAATATACATATACATATCATATATCTACACAAATGTCTACGTAGTGAATCCAACACACATCTGCATTTGCACATTTTCCATCCTTCCCTCCCTCCCTCCATCCATCCATCCATACATACATACATGCAGACGGACTGAGGTACAGACATACAGACATACAGACATATAGACATACAGACATACAGACGGACAGAGAGACAGACAGACATACTTCGTACATAATACTCGCACACTTACATATGGACATACGGAAATACTTACGTACTTACATGCTATTATATTGCATACTTGCATGCTACTTGCATAATACTTGCATAATACTTGCATACTTGCATACTTGCATACTTGCATCCTCTGCTGAAGTTCCCATACTGTGGATGCCTCTTTTTCTGCTGTGAAAATTATTGTATTTTCCAATGACTGCGGTTTTCCATTTTCATGCTTTGTTTAAGAGCTTCCATTTGGATGTGGTCTGCTTTAGTTGCTTCCATCTGTATATTTCTGTCTGGACCTGCTTTCCCGGACCAAAGGATCGCATTCATATGTGGCCCACGACAAAAGGATCATAATGTGATGAGTTCAGTCAGGCGGCGGCCCGGTTGCAAGAAATACAGATATGCATGAGTATCGATATGTATCCATGTATGCACGTGTATTTGCACGTGCATGTGTGTACGTACGTATGTATGCATTAACGTCTGTGTGTGTGTATGCGTGTATTTGTGTATGTGTGTAAGAGTGTAAGTGTATGTAAGTATGCACGTGTGTAAGTGTGCAGGTCTGCAAGTGTGCAAGTGTGTAAGTATGTAAGTATGCACGTGTGTACGTGTGCAAGTATGCAAGTATGTACGTTTGTAAGTATGTGTGTAAGTGTGCAAGTCTGCAATACAAGTTTGCAAGTATGCAATTGTGCAAGCATGCAAACTTTGAGAGACCCGCCATACACGCCCCGTTCGAGAATACTATCACAGACCGACACTGGAAATAGATTTGGGGGAGTCGGGTTTTTTGGGGGGTGGCAGATTTATGAATCACGGCCTCCGTCGATTTCGGCGATGAGATGGTTGTTCCCAGGGAAGGGCTTTTCGACCCTGGGTTCAATTGAGCCGCCTTCAAGCAGAGTTTTCTCACACCCCGGCATTTTGATATAACGCGCCCCCCCCCCCCCCCCAAACTTGAGTCGAGTTGCAAGCTGGGCTCGTGAAGCAATCTCGGCTGGCATGCGACCCCTCATCTGAAAGCTGGAGACGGACATCCCGACATCCCCCCCGTTTGTGTAACATAGAACCGAACCAAGGGGGCTCCGAGTCCCAAAAGGAGGTACCTCTAAACATGGTGGGTTTTCAGTCCAGGTCCTTAGGTTGTTTTGTGGTAGTTTCCGCTAAACCGCTAGAAGTTAGACTGGTTGCAGGGGATCTAAGGACAGCCCAGTCAGCATGTTTTTGTTTTGGTTTCATGTTAAACTGCACGAAAGGAGTTGTTTGGGGGTCAAAGGGATCCCCCCTTTTCTTGCCTGGTCGTCCGAAGATGCTTTTTCCCACATCAAGGTGTGGCTCATTGCCATGTGTTTAAGTATTGTCTTTTTGTTTCCCAACAGGTGAAAGCTATGGGGTCTCTGCCCAGATGGGCTCTGGGGTGGTTTGGGGCAGCTTTCATTCAGGGAGGGTTCAAAAAGGAGGGTTCCAGGGGCTTCAGGGGCTGTTGGGATACCACCCGGGCTTATTGCTGAAACAGTTTTTGTTGGTTGCTTCGAAGGGGTTTCCCTTCAACTCATGCAACGTGTTGGGTGCGTGAACTGTGGGCATGCTTGGTTCAGGATGGCTTTGGCTGGAGGGAAGGCAAAGGTGCCTCAATTCGTGGTGGGAGCGCATTCAGCAGGTCGGAACCACTCAGGTGTCCGTGAAAAGGTGGCTTGGGCCCTGGGATTTGGTTCTTGTACAGTCCACCAAACTAGTGGTTTTGATGGGTGGTGGGGATCTGAAGCCCTGTTTCTTGTAGAGGGTAGATGGAAAACCAACCTTCACCAACCTTCACCTGACCGATCCACGATGTCGCTGGCAGGAGGCCTATCCAACAGGCCAGGAGTACCTTGAGGCGTACCTCCAGCCCTTGGCTGCGGTGCTGCAGGCCCACGACAAGTGCAAAGGCCCGATGTGGCAATAATCAGCTTCCGCCGGCAAGAAACGCGCGGTTTGGTGGTTCGGTGGTTGGGTGGTTGGGTGGTTTGGAGGTTTGGGTTGGCGGTTTGGAGGTTGTTTGGGGTAGTTTCCGATGAATCCTCGAGAATAAGCCGGTTCGAATCCCCAAACCAATCTAATCCGCCAAGTAATTAGTGGGAAGCAGAGCAAAGACTCGTTGGGTGTCGGATATTTTAAAGGGAAACGAAGACGACACCTCCTCCTTGTTCCCCCTCTTCAATTTTTTAGACAGACCCAGTTTTTGGGTGTCACCGGACCGGGTTGGTTTTTTGTTGTTGATGCTTTCCACCATGAAGAATCTATTGGAGTGCTTGACTGGTTGTGTCTATTTCTAGAGGACCCCCAAAATGGATTTCGGTTTTCCTTTGAATTCCCTTTAAAACCAACCAACAAAAAGACATCGCATCCCATGCCGGCCGGGGTTTGGCGTCCCGTACGGAGGGCTGGGGACCACGGAAAATTTGAGATCCCGAATGGTTGGTGGCTGATTTCAGTTCGCAAGATCCTCATTCTGATTTTGGTGAAACTATCTTCAATGTTCCTGGGGGTGACCTTTCACTGTTGGTTGGCTACCTCTTACCCCTGAAAAACACCCTCCAGGAAGGCAATAGACGAAACCTGGAGGTGTTTACACGCAGATTCTGACGGGAACCCCCACTAGGTGGGTACGGGTTTGTCTTGGGGAAATGGGTGGCCTTTTGGGACACTTGCCGGGCCCCGGCTGGCAGGGCCCGCCGGCGCAGACGTAGCCTTTCTTTTTTGGGTGAGACAATTGAGGGGTATCATCACGGCAACAATGCAGAGCGCCCCTTGCAAACAGTGGCCTGGTCAACAGCGAAAGTTATGGGCTAATCCGCCAACCTGTTTTTGAAGGGTTCCAGGTTGCAGAGAGTTTGCGTGTGTGTGTGTGTGTGTGTGTGTGTGTGTGTGTGTGTGTGTGTGTGTGTGTGTGTGTGTGTGTGTGTGTGTGTGTGTGTGTGTGTGTGTGTGTGTGTGTGTGTGTGTGTGTGTGTGTGTGTGTGTGTTGTGTGTGTGTGTGTGTGTGTGTGTGTGTGTGTGTGTGTGTGTGTGTGTGTGTGTGTGTGTGTGTGTGTGTGTGTGTGTGTGTGTGTGTGTGTGTGTGTGTGTGTGTGTGTGTGTGTGTGTGTGTGTGTGTGTGTGTGTGTGTGTGTGTGTGTGTGTGTGTGTGTGTGTGTGTGTGTGTGTGTGTGTGTGTGTGTGTGTGTGTGTGTGTGTGTGTGTGTGTGTGTGTGTGTGTGTGTGTGTGTGTGTGTGTGTGTGTGTGTGTGTGTGTGTGTGTGTGTGTGTGTGTGTGTGTGTGTTTTTGTGTGTGTGTGTGTGTGTGTGTGTGTGTGTGTGTGTGTGTGTGTGTGTGTGTGTGTGTGTGTGTGTGTGTGTGTGTGTTTGTGTGTGTGTTTTTGTGTGTGTGTGTGTGTGTGTGTGTGTGTGTGTGTGTGTGTGTGTGTGTGTGTGTGTGTGTGTGTGTGTGTGTGTGTGTGTGTGTGTGTGTGTGTGTGTGTGTGTGTGTGTGTGTGTCAGGGGAGGGGGGGGAAAGGAAGTGGTGTCAAAGACGCGGCCGGTCGGGCGTTTGGTCTGCCTTTCGCGAGCTGGAAAGGCCTGCACTGCGGGGTGGAGGTGTTGGCAGTGGGCCGGGGCGCGCTGCTGAAGGGGGAGTCCATTGGCGGAGGTGGGGAAGTCGGAAGTCGGACGGGGGGGGGGGAGAGGAAGGGCGGAGGGAACGGAAGGAAGCCAAGCCTGTGCCTGGTCAAAGGACTTATTTGGGGAACCCTTTGGTAGGCTGAGGGAGTTCTGGATGAAGGATTTCAGCAGATTGCATTGAGACGGACTCGAACGTCTCAGATCGTCTCAGATCGTCTCAGGTCACACAGGATCCAAGATCTATGGAAGGACACCTTGTATCAGACTTCTGGTCCTTGAGGGTAAATGCGCAACTCTAAGCACCGGGCTCCAAACGGAGCTGCCAACT